GCCAGTGTGGGACCCCCGCGCCGTGGCTCTCCGCCCCAAGCCCCGCCGCGTCCCCAGCGCCCCAGCGGGGCCCCCGCCCACTGCCCCCTCCGACACGAACGCTGTATTACGCGTCGCACCCCCCCCTCCGCGTCCCCAGCGCCAGAGTGGGACCCCCGCGCCGTGGTTCTCTGCCCCGAGCCCCCCCGCGTCCCCAGCGCCCCAGCGGGGGCCCCGCCCACTGCCCCTTCAGCCACTAACGCTTCATCCCGCGTCGCGCCGCACACCACCTCCCCCACCTTCGTCCCCGCGTCCCCAGCGCCCCAGTGGGGACTCCGCCCCGTGCCCCCTCCGCCCCGACAATTTTATTCCGCGTCGCGACGCACGCCACCTCCCCCCCTTCCCCCCCTTTCCCCAGCGCCCCAGTTGGACCCCCGCCCCGTGGCCCTGTGCCCCAAGCCCCGCCCAGTGCCCCCTCCCGCGTCGCGGCACACACCACCCCCCTCCTCTCCGCGCCCCCAGCGCCCCAGTGGGACCTCCGCCCCGTGCTCCCTCCGCTCCGAGCACTTTATTCCGCGTCGCGACGCACGCCGCCTCCCCCACCCTCCCCACCTGGGACTTGGGCCCCGTTGCTGGGCCCAGAGGGCGATGCCTTGCCCCCTCTTCCTCCCTCCTCCTCCACCTCCTCCTCCTCCTCCTCCTCCTCCTCCTCCTCCTCCTCCTCCTCCTCCTCCTCCTCCTCCTCCTCCTCCTCCTCCTCCTCCTCTTCCTCCTCTCCCTTCCTTTTTGTGCAAGGGCTATGGCACACGTGCCACTTGTATTTCCCCAGATTTCATTGTGCCTCTTCTTATTTCATTACGTCCCTGGCCCCCCCGGTGGGCCGCGCACATGCCGCCGGTCATGATTTGCACACCCCCCCTCTTGGACACCCCCCTCTTGGCCCCTCAGGGACGATCTACTTCTGTTTATGTTTGACTACCTTTTTGGCTGCTTTGCATATGTTTGGATGACTTTGTTTATTTTTCCTCCAAAAATCTGCATGTAGGTGGACGTGCCCGACCGAAGGCTGGTGGTGCGGGAGGGGCGCTCAAGAAGTGAGTGATGAGGGGGGGGGCTTTTCGGGGAGGGCTCGAGGTTCGAGTTCGAGGCTCCAGGTTTTCACGCATCTTCCTAGGTTCCGGGCGGCCTTCCAGCCAATTGGTTGCCTTTCAGCAGCTGCGCCTCGTCGAGAGCGTTCTGGGGCTGCCCAGATCGTCCCGAACGGCCGCCAGGGAGCCGATTTACGGCCCGAGGGCCAGGGGCAACGATAGGGGGGGGGGAGTCGAGTATGGGCGCTGCGTGAGTGTGCCCCGACCGCCCCCTCGGAGGGTTGTGAGCAGCACAGTGAGCAGGCGACCTGGTAACAGGGCGCTGTCCAAGGCCCCAGCGCCTGTGGAACCCCCGGCACGAGAAGGATACAGTGGGGGCCCATGCCAAGAACCACCATGCTTGCCTCCAGGGTGCCCGGGGTTTCTTGGGTTGCGATGGTTTTGCGATGGGAAGCGTGGCGTTCCCACACCAAAAGTCCATGGACGACCTGGGGTCTCAGCGCTGGGTTTCTTGTGGAAGGTGTCTTGTGGTCGAGCTCCTGCTGTAGGGCAACCGACCCACGAGGCACGAGGCACGAGGCAGCCACCCCCTGCGGCAACCGCGGGCGTTTCTGCGGGTGGGCTGCCGCCGCGGCCGTCGCGCAGGGCTCGAAGCGAGCCACAAGTGCGCAAGGATAGACGCTCGGGCCTCCGAGCAACTGTGCTTGTGCAGCTGTTCGGCCCCTGAGGGCGCGAGAGGGAGTAGAAGTGGGAGCGCGTTACGCGCGCCAGGGGCGTCGCCGGAGGCGGCGCCAGGGGGGGCCCAGCGCCGATCCGGGGCATCCGCTCGGCGCTCCCAAACTTGTGCTCCTGAAGACTTGTGTTTTCTGCTACAGCAGAAGGAGGAGGACGAGGAGGACGAGGAGGACGAGGAGGAGGAGGAGGAGGAGGAGGAGGACGAGGAGGAGGGGGACGAGGAGGAGGAGGAGGAGGAGGAGGAGGAGGACGAGGAGGAGGAGGAGGAGGAGGAGGAGGAGGAGGAGGACTTCGCACAATCGAAAGCTCCCGAGGTGGCGGATTGCACGCGCCGTGCAGCCTATCTTACGCAGTATACGGACCGACGCAGAGAGGAGCACTCCGTAGGGCTGGGGGTGATGCCCTTTGGGCCCCGGCGGGGCCGTTGCCTGCGACGCTGTGTGCGTTCTGTTGCATCTTCGGGGGACCTCGCCTGTCCCCCAAAATTAGTGTCTTTTGGGGGGCCCGACGCGTGCTCGATGCGGACTCGACGCGGATTTGGCGTGGATTCGACGCGGATTCGACACGGATTCGGCACGGATCTGACGCGTCCGACATGGATTCGACACGGATTCGACGCGGACAGGGCCGCGACGGGACAGACAAGGTCCCCCGAGGATGCCACATAATGGTCGATTTCCAGAAAATATGGGAAAATATGGGAAGTGGGGGGAAGACAAAAAAACTGAAAATATGGGAAACTATGGGGAATAATTTTATTTGTGTGTATTAATTTGTGTGTTTGTGGGCCTCTTCAGTTGCCTGCGACGCTGTGTGCGTCAGGCAGGCCCCCGAGGCACCCACCCCGCCCCGAGTCGGGCTCCCAACACACAGCAACGGCGGAGGAGGACGCTTCGGTGCGGTCGGCCTCGGAGGCTCGAGGCACGCTCGCAGGTGCTGGGCGGGTGCCGCCTCCCTGGGAAAACAGGGAGGAGGAAGGGAGGAGGAGGAGGAGGAGGAGGAGGAGGAGGAGGAGGAGGAGGACGCTTCGCTTCGGTCGGCCTCGGAGGCTCGAGGCACGCTCGCAGGTGCTGGGCGGGTGCCGCCTCCCTGGGGAAACAGCAGCCGGGGTCGGCACAGTCGGGGCCCATGGGCAGAAGCCACGACGAGGCCCTAGAGGCCCAGTCGCAAAGAGGCACACGCACGTGGCCGCAATCAGGCCGAGCGAGCTCGAGCCGATTCTGCCCACTCTCGCTGCTCCTCCCGAGGAGGACTCGGCGGCGAGCCCGGGGGGGATGAGAAGGAGAAGGCCTTCTCAGAAGGCTCGGAAGTCCCCCGGCCTTCCGAGAAGTGTTGCAGGCCTTCCCCGAAGACGCAAACACCTCGGAAGGCCGCGGCCTTCTGAGAAGATCTTCTCTTCCTTGCTGCTCCCCCTCGCTCGCCGCCGAAGTGAGGCCGAGCAAGCTCGACTGAGTCCAGCCACTCTCCCCGCTCCTCACGTGCCGCCTGGGCCGCCGCCCCGACACGCCAGGCAAAAGTTCCCGACCGCGGGCTCAGAGCTCGGCGGCGGGCGAGGGGGGATGTGGAAAGGGGAAGGCCCTCTCATAAGCTTGGCATCGCTCGGACGTGTGCGCCTTTCCTTCGGCGAGGACCATCGAGGAGCATCCTTGATCATTTGGCGAAAAAACCACGCACGAAACCCAAAAAAAACACAGGAAATGGACGTCCAAGCGATGGCCAGTAAGGCGGCGGGGCTTTTCAGAAGGCCTCCGAGGGATTTCCTGCGTCTTCGAGGAAGGCTTCGAAAACTTCCTCCTCAGAAGGCCCGGGCATGTCCGAGCCTTCGGAGAAGTCCCGCCCCTTCTCCCCTGACCTTCCAGAGAGCTATTTTTTAGCACTGGAGACCTAAAAACTTAAAAAAAGTAAACGAAACAGCCTAAAACCAAGACGTAGAATAGCTCTGGGGTAGGTTTTTGAGGTCGGGTGCTATTTTTTAGCCCTCCTGGAAGGTCAGGGCCCTCCTGGAAGGTCAGGAGGAGGAGGAGGAGGAGGAGGAGGAGGAGGAGGAGGTTCTCACTTCCCCCCTTCGGCTCGCCGCCGAAGCCCCAGCGGCCCCTGAGATCCAACGCCGCAGCACAGACCAACATCAGGACCGCCACGGCCGGAGCTCGCAGCAGACCCCATATCTTTCGGGTCGGGCGAAAGGAGGAGGAGGAGGAGGAGGAGGAGGAGGAGGAGGAGGAGGAGGAGGAGGAGGATAGGGAGGAGGAGGAGGAGGAGGAGGAGGAGGAGGAGGAGGCGGAGTTGGGAAAGTGCGGGGGTTACGAAATCTGCTGCATGCAGCTGGTTTCGGCCCAGCCGAGGGGCCCCTCCCTCGATAAATGGTCGCCTCCCGGCGCCTCCAGGCGCCGGGAGGCGCCGGGAAAATCAGCTACGTGAGCTGATTCTCAAACCCCCCCTTGTCTATCCCCCCCTTTCGCACGGCCCGAGTGTCGACGCCTGTTCGTGCGTCCACGGCCTCTCCAGACGCGCCGGTCCTGGAACGCGAGAGATGCGCCGCGGAGCGATCCCCGCAGCCGTCCGGACCGCCATCCCCTTTCGCTTTGCTGTCCCCCCCTTTCGCCCGGCCCCATATCCTCTGCGCCATTCTCCCGGGCCGGCTCGAGCCGCGAGGCTCCCGGGGCCCGAGACGGGGCGGAGGCGCCTTTGGGCGGAGAGGCTGCAGCGCCCGGCTCTCGGGGACGACGGCAGGGGGGAGGCGGGGGGGAGGCCGAGCAGGCCCGATCGATGCCGACCATCCGCCCCGCCCCTTCTTCTTCTGCTTCTTCTTCGTCTTCTTCTTCCTCCTCCTCCTCCTCCTCCTCCTCCTCCTCCTCCTCCTCCCCCTCCTCCTCCTCTTCCTCCTCCTCCTCCTCGTCCTCCTCCCCCCCCCGAGGAGGCCGAGGGGTGAGGAGGACGACGGGGAGGAGCGGCGAGCTTTGCTCCCACCCCGGAGCCTGACCCAAGGAGGTCCCGGGAGGTCGTGATTCCTAGAAAATATGGGAAAATATGGGAAGTAGGGGGAAGACAGGAACCCAGAAAATATGGGGAAATATGGGGGATATTTGTATTTGTGTGTATTTAGTTGTGTGTCCTGGGGCCCCTTCAGTCATGAGGCCCAAAGAGGGTCGAAGACGTGAAGAGACAGTGCGAAGGCGTCCGAAATCTCTCCTTGATCCTCGAGGAGGGTCGGGGGCAGAACTTAGGAGGCAGGAGGAGCGGGAGCCATGCCAGCGCGAGCGCCAGCCCGTCGGGCCCGGTGATCGCGCGTGTGGCGCCGCGGCCGCCGCGGCCGCCCCTTGGTGCGGCGCCGGAGCACGCGGCCATGCGGGCCTGGCTGCTGCCGGAGAGGAGAGCGGCTTTTTTTTTCGGAGGAGGAGGAGGAGGAGGAGGAGGAGGAGGAGGAGGAGGAGGAGGAGGGAGAGGAGGAGGATCTGTTTTTGACAAGGCTTTGTGACTGCGGACTCCTGCGTAGAACAGGCCAGAGGTGCTAGTCTGAGACTGATTCAAATGCCAGCACAGCTTCGGGCATAGGAGCGAGAGGGCGTCGTCACGCCTTAAGGCTTCAGCGTCCGAGAGGAGCTGGGGTTCGGACTCTTCCACCTCTGGATGAAAGGGCTCACAGTTTACTCCAGGCAGCTCTGGATGGAGAAGGAGGAGAAACCTAAACCTCATCCTTCTGCGCCCCTCCCCCCCAGACTGCATCCTTCGCCCCCGCCTCCTCCCTCACCCTCCCTCCCTCCTCTTCTTCCGCCCTCTCTCCTCCCAGAAAGGAGGGGGGCGTCGGACCCCTGGGGGGATGAGCTCGGGGTGCTCTCGCAGCCTCGGGGTCCTCTCGCAGCCCCTGGAGAGGCGGTTCTCCAGCCTCGGCGTGCTCTCGCAGCGGCTGCGCCTCGCCGTGAGGCGTCCTGGGGTGCCTGGATCGTTCCGAACAGACTCCGGATACCCAAGGTTTGTCCCGAAAGCCAGACGACGAGGACCGACGGGGGGGAGAGCGGCTTTGAATGGATGCCTGCTTGTTTTTGTTGAGGAGCGAGTGGTGATGACGATGTTGCGTACTGAGAGTTCTCAGTTCCCTGACACTCCGAGTGGGCTCCAGAAGCGAGAGCCGCTAGATACGCTGGGGACGTATCATGAGCCAATCGCATCACCACATCATCTCGCCTGTTGTTACCCCACAGCCTCAGTGGGGTTTACCCCCCTCCTCCTCCTCCTCCTCCTCCTCCTCCTCCTCCTCCTCCTCCTCCTCCTCCTCCTCCTTTTTGCATTGCACAGACATGGACCGGAGATCGTTTCGTTCTAAGTGTCTTGCAACAAAATGAATTTGCCACATTAGGCAAAGGGTCAACGAATTAAACCTGGCGGGCGCCGCAGAACAAAAATAAAGGCGCACACGCGAACGCACGGCTGGATAATACCTGCCGCTGGTGTTGGTTTCTCGGTTTCTCGATCACATTTGAAGCCCTGTGTTTTTGTTGCGATCGATCGCGTCTCGCTGCGCCTCGACGAGGAACAAGTCGAGACACGTCCAGCCAAGGCGACGAGAACTCCTCCAAAACGCCCAGACATTTCCGAAACGACAACGTCGACTTGTCGCCGCCACCGCCGCGCCGCCTCGGTCGTCGCCGCCGCCGCCGCCGTCGTCGTCGTCGTCGTCGCCGCCGCCGTCGTCGTCGTCGTCGTCGCCGTCGCGCCGTGTTCGTCATCATCGTCATCGTCGTCGTCGTCGCCAGGGCGTCGTCGTCGTGGCCGTCGTCGTCGTCGTCGTCGTTGCCGCCGCCGCCGTCGTTGTCGTCGTCGTCGTCGTCGTCGTCGTCGTCGTCTCCGCCGCCGCCGCAAAGTCGTCGTCGATGTCGTCGTCGTCGTCGTCGTCGTCGTTCCGTCGTCGTCGTCGTCGTCGTCGTTCCGTCGTCGTCGTCGTCGTCGTCTCCGCTGCCGCCGCCACCGCCGCCGCCTCCGCCGACGTCGTCATCGTCGTCGTCTTCGTCGCCGCTGCCGCCGCCGCTGCCGTCGAAAGAATTCCTTTTCCAGTGGACTGGGTCTTTCCCTCGTAATCCGGTCCATTCCCCGGTTCGAGTTCCAGAGTAGTTGTCCAGAGGCCTCCTCAGAGGAGTATTGGGCCACCTCAGAGGCGTCTTGGGCCTCCTGAGAGGCGTCGTGGGCATCCTGAGAGGCGCCTTGGGCCTCCTGCGAGGCGTCTTGGGCCTCCCGAGAGGCGTCTGGGGCTTCCCGAGAGGCGTCTTGGGCCTCCCGAGAGGCGTCTTGGGCATCCCGAGAGGCGTCTTGGGCCTCCCGAGAGGCGTCAGGGGCTTCCCGAGAGGCGTCTTGGGCCTCCCGAGAGGCGTCCTAGGTTTCCCGAGAGACGTCTTGGGCCTCCCGAGAGGCGCCTGGGTTTTCCCGAGAGGTGCCTTGGGCCTCCCGGGAGGCGTCTGGGGCCTCCCGAGAGGCGCGTTGGGCCTCCCGAGAGGCGCCTTGCACCATGGACCTCCTGAGAGGCGTCTTGGGCCTCCCGACAGGCGTCTTGGGCCTCCCGAGAAGCTTCTTGAGCCTCCCGAGAGGCGTCGTGGGCCTCCTGAGAGGCGTCGTGGGCTTTCGAGAGGCGTCTTGGGCCTTCTGAGAGGCGTATTTGGCCTCCTCACGTTGGTTGGTTGCTTCGTTGGTTGGTTGGTTGCCTGTATGT